TAATGCAGTAAAGGATTTATTTATGGATCCTGGCCAAGATGATTTTTAGTCATTCTTGGTTTAAATTGAGATCCCTTCCCTTTATAACTCACTTATCCTCCACCATTCCCAAGTCAAGGGTCATATATACTGACCCAATAGCATATCTTGAAAACTAGAGCCAATCAACAATTTTAAGCATCATTTTCATTCTCAGTGACCCAGAATTAGTAAAATTTGACTACATTTATTTCAGAAGCATTTTGGCTGTAGAGCAGTGTAATCAGACTAATAAAAGCCCACTTATACTTCAGAGAGACCAGGTAACTTTCTCAACATTTTAAACCCGCTTTAATAGGCTCTTCTATATCTTTTTGATTGTAATTAAAACTCCAGATCCTTACTAAAATATCCTACTTGGCTAAAATTTGGTGCAGTTTCTCAGCATACAAACCTTTTCTTTTTTTTTTTAAACAGTTGTTAATGTATACAAAAATAGGTGGTGTCATTTATTAAGTGCTTTTATTTACTCTAATTATTCCTATGAGAATACATCATAATGGGTCAAAAAAGGATAAAGCGGACAGGCAGATGCTTGTACCATGAAGACTTTCAGGGTGTTCTTGATACAAACATGAATGGACATTTCCTATCCCCTAGCCAATTTTCATAACATTGTAATTAATCCTTTGAAATTAAATGTCACTAAAGCCAATGGAAGAATCTTGATGAATTAATTTCTTCATTGGGATCCAATGTGGTTGCTAGTGAAAAAAACAAACAAACAGATGTATTCACTGCAGTTGGATCGAATACCCGTAACCCTCTCAAGTGTATTCAAAGTTACCTTAAAGATAGGATCAGACTCCAGTCCCTTGAAAGGAACATGATTACATTAACAATGTTTGGATCTTAAAGAACCAAAATGCTTCAAAACTTCAGAGGTTTTTTGAAAGCTGGAAAGTAATAAACAAACCCCAAAAGGCCAAGACTGGCGAGCACATGTTCCTAGTTAAAGGTAGTAGTACCCTGCACATAAAAGGTTCCAGGTGCATAACAGATTGGAATAAGTATTAGGGGCAGAGGATACAATCTCTCTTTAAATGTGCTATTGTCCGTTTCACAAACTTAAATCTTATTTCAGCAGTTTTAGATTTTTAAGTTTTCACTTGACTGTGTACATGAGGTTCCTGTTATTCTTGTTTATAATGATACAACTATGAAGAGAGACAAGAACCTCTTGTCACAGAATACACCTAACTCCTACATATGGGCTGAGAAAAAGCCAACCAATCCAAGTCCAAGTTCAAAGAGCTGGTATGTCTACAGAGCTCTCTGCACTGTGGCTGGTCCATGGAACTCTCTCACCACCTGCACTATGACTGGCCAAAGACCGTTCTTCCATTGGTGCATTTACTTGACTTACATCAACATAAATTGAAGTTATATTGACAAAATGATGACTAAGACCTTCCTACAAGCCTCAAATTCCTACAAATGTCTTCCACCCACCAGTACCTTCACATAAAGTACCAAAAAAGACATATCCTAAGTTTCCACAAGTACTAGGACCTTTGGAAGATCTCTAGCAATCACTGTAGAAATACATAAATTGTGTTAGATATGTGGCCTACAAAGGGTGCTAAGTCATACATAACCAGGCTGTGCTAATGGTATACTATTTCATGGAAAGACATTCTGAAAACATTTTCCATTTTTTCAAAACAATTTAACAGTACATATAACATTTCAGCAAATTTATTACAAGTGACAGCATATGTGAGCGAAAGACTCATGATGGCTAGATTTACACAGAACAATTTGCAGTCGACTGATGTATTAAAATTCTTTTGAAGCAATACGTTTAGCTGTCCCAGGCGGCTAGCCCATGTAATTGTCAAATCCTTCACTTACTGCACAAATAGAACTTTGAAGATCATACTTTACAAGTAACTTCCTGAACAGACAGACATGACAAGAACTAAGCAGCTATACTAAAACAGGCTGCAGAAATAAGATGGCATTAAGCATTTGATAACATTTGAAATGGAGAATTTTCTGTTTCGTTCTGTCTTCAAGAATGGGAAGTGCTCAAATTAGCTAAATATGTTAGATGAAAGACTCACCTGATAGCCAATTATGGATGAGTGTAATTATCATCCCTCTCCTGTGAAAATGCTTCTATCAAGAGACTGGATGGCCATTAGTAATAGGATACAAAGCCTTTCCTCTCAGAATACAAGTGCAAGTGTGGCCCAGGTCAGGAGTAATCAGAAGTTACCAAATGGTGGCAATTTTTATAGCCTATCTGGAAAGAATATAGCCTCACTTCTGTTTCCCATGAACGGAGGTCATCACCACAAAGCTCTAATGAGCTGCATATGTTGTCAGTCAAGGATAGACCAAATATGGATAATGTGCTACCTTGTCACATGGAGACGCAGTCTCTCTGTATCAGTGCTGACACAAAGGGCACACAACCCTAGTGTACCTCTGAAGTACAGAAAACTGCCCAGGATGACATTCAAGAATCCATATTTCCTGAGAGTCAACATCATCAGTTAACAAGGAGCAAGTTGTTTGTCAATGTGTAATGAGACTTTCATTGGCATCAATGGGAGCAGTGTGCATCCAAAGGCAGTTAAAGCCTTAAGAGCGATTGGCAGACATTTATTGCTTTCCCATCTTAAGCAGTTTTCCCAACTCTGCCATTCTGAACTAAAGCAAGACATCCCAGTTCTCCTTTAAGAGTTATTTTTAGGTTAGAGTGCAGTATCGAGGATTCAATGCTCCTTTCATATTTGATGCCAGAATACTTGTTGTTCAATTGTAGAGAAGGCGTGTGTGAGGAAGAAGAATCAGAGGAACAAAGCACTGGGTTAATATCACTTTCCTCCTCACCTTTACAGAAGCTGTTTTCAGTGGCATGGCGGTGCCATCTGTAATGCTGAGCATGTACAATATTCACTACTAAAACAACACAGGATGAGCACAATATAATCGGGAAAAATAAGAACCATTCCAAGATTGTGGCACGCCACTATTAAGCATTCTGGGCTTGTTCCAGATGTAATCCGCTACAAGCATCACTGATGTTCAAATGAGCTACTGATATTCTAGAAAATCAAGGATTCAAGGACCTCAACTGAACCAACTTCTACTTCGAGTCACTCCTCAGTTTTGCAGATGTGACACAGGTAGAAGTACAATGTCTATAATAGAGAGATTTATTCATCCATCACCAATTGTCATTTACAGTTACTAAAATCAGAGTCTGGTAAACTGTCCAAATTATAAAGGGGGGTGGTGGAAGGAGAGAGAGAGAGAGAGAGAGAGAGAGAGAGAGAGAGAGAGAGAGAGTGTGTGTGTGTGTGTAGTAAGTTTAAAAAAAAACAATAAACAAAACAACGATA